CGGCGGGGAGCCCGGCGCGTCCCGGCCGCCCGCCTGTGAGCGCGGGCGGCGGCGATGGCCGTGGCCGGGCAGGAGGACTACGCGTACCTCTACAGGGACTCCTCTCACCCCGCCGGCTTCCTGGAGGCGTTCCGGGCGTTTTACCTGGACGGGCTGTTCACCGACATCACCCTGCAGAGCGCCTCGGGCGTCTTCTTCCATTGCCACAGGGCCGCCTTGGCGGCTTGCAGCAGTTATTTTAAAGCCATGTTCACGGCCGATATGAAGGAGAAATCTAAGAGCCAGATCAGCCTTCCCGGGCTCAGCCACGCCGTACTGGAAGCCCTCGTGAATTATGCGTACACATCACAGATCCAGATAACAAAGAGAAACGTCCAAAGCCTGCTCCAGGCTGCAGACCTCCTCCAGTTCGTGTCGGTAAAGAAAGCCTGCGAGCAGTTTCTGGTGAGGCACTTGGATACTGACAACTGCATAGGGATGCACTCCTTTGCCGAATATCACGATTGCTCAGAGCTAGAGAAAGAGTCCAGGAGGATATTGTTGTGGCGGTTTGAAGAAGTGTGGAAGCAGGAGGAGTTTCTGGACATTGGCAAGGAGAAGCTCTCCTATATTCTCTCCCAGGAGAATCTCAACGTTTGGAAAGAAGAGGCAGCCATTGAAGCTGTTGTTAAGTGGGTCGCACACAATGTGGAAGAAAGAATTGAAGACGTCTACGAACTGCTGAGCTGCATCAAAGTAGACTTAGATAACGTGTATTTGAGGTCAGCTTTAAGCCTACAGAAAAAATGCCGACTTAATGACAGTAAAATAAGGTCACTCATATACAGTGCCCTGAACCTCAATCCCAAAGGCCTCTCCAGAAGACCCACAGCAGCCATGTATGTGATCGGAGGATATTACTGGCATCCCTTATCAGAAGTGCATGTTTGGGATCCTTTAACCAACGCGTGGGTCCAGGGAACAGAGATGCCGGATCACACCAGAGAGAGCTATGGGGTCACTAGCTTGGGACCAGACATATATGTGACAGGAGGTTACAGAACAGAGAGCATCGAAGCCCTTGACACCGTGTGGATATATAACAGTGAGAGAGATGAATGGACAGAAGGCTGCCCCATGCTTGACGCAAGGTATTACCACTGCGCGGTTTCCTTGAGTGGCTGCATCTATGCGTTGGGTGGTTACCGAAAGGGAGCTCCAGTGCAAGAAGCTGAGTTCTATGATCCTTTGAAAAAGAAATGGCTTCCTATTGCAAACATGATCAAAGGTAGGTAAGCTTTTGTATGGCGTCTGCTCCAAATGTCGATACTTTTGCATTTGGCACTTTTAAGTACCGTGGACACGTTTAGGGTTTGATCCAAGTTCTGGTGAAGTCCACGGGAATCTCCTGTTTGTTGGTGGCCTTTGGTTCAGGTCTGTACTAGCCAAACGACTGCGAACATCCAAACGCTATGCTGGGCTGTGCCACAGAACACTACGGTGGAAAAGCATGTGGTAGTCTCAGTTTAATTTTGCCTTCCTTCAGAAGTAAAATTTCTGTTCTAATTAGAAAGAAATCAGAAAACCGCCTGGGATTAGAGTCTGTTCAGTAAATGGTCAAAGAGCAAGCTCCAATAAAGGGTTTGCATTATTTTAATGTAAGACCAGATTACTAAGACCTTCTGTGTGATCATTGATAGAGGTGTCATCTTCGTTTAAAACTCGTTGCATGGAGTTTCCTCATATTTCAGTGTATCGTCTGTTCAGGATCCTTAGTCTAATCTTTAGTGTGAGGATAATGAAAAGCACTAATACCTGTTTCTAGCAGCCAAAATAGCAATCTATTAAAAAATGTATGAATTTGGATCACAGTCTAACTAAAGGGTATTATTTTGTTACAAAATTTATAAACCATTATACATTTTATCATACATTTTTATAAATTAATGCAATTATTTACAATTAATTATAAAATTTTACTGCAAGTTGATGCAACATAGTATTTTTCTACATACACGAGAGTATTTGGAGGTATCTAACAGGAAAAACCACTTACTATGCTCCTACGACTTTCTTCATTGCTCGTATATTTTCTACAAACATTGCTATTATTCTCTTCTTATTTCCTGTAGAAATAGAAATGCTATGCTAATATGTGAGCAGTTACACATTCTGTGCAGTTTTTTTGTTCCATTTTCTAGGTGAAACCCCTTAGATACTTAAAAAAAACACACTAATTTCCTAATTTTGGTCCGTTTTGTCTTGCCAGATCCCTTGTTTTGTTTTGTTCTCTTAGAGACAGAGTTAACATGGCTCCATTCTGTTTGTGTCTTTGTTTATACAATAGCATAATTAATAATACCGTGAGAAAGACTAAAAGTATTGGAAAAGATACCCTGAGACACTGAGTGATCTCAACTCCCATTGTCCTTGCCATATGAGTGACTTTTAAAAATCTTTTTAACTTAGTGAAATATTGAAAGTAATTCCCTATTCCAAAACCAATGTGACAGTGTCTTTAATTACTGCATAAAAGGTCTGTGAAATATTGTGCGTCTGTATTATATGCAATACATATCAGTTACTGCAGTTTTATTTAATTGCTCTTGACTTACACTGATAAAATAAGGTGTCTTGACAAGTTTATTTCATTTCACATTCAGTTAAATACTTGCAAGCATAATTTCACCCTAAAATATTAATTAACAAGGCATTTGAAATGGGATTATGGGTGGAAGTGACCGTGGTTGTTGTGTGCGGTCTGAAGTTGTGTTGTGACTTTCACACTGTGCAGGTGTTGGAAATGCCACCGCCTGTGTCCTGCATGAAGTCATCTACGTAACCGGAGGTCACTATGGGTACAGGGGAAGCTGCACCTATGATAAAATCCAGAGATACCACTCAGGTAACAATGAGTGGAGTATAGTCACCACAAGTCCGCATCCAGGTAAACAATAATTTCTGTAACGAGCATAGAGCTTGATTTGATTACTTGTATCTGGGAGTCTTTAAGCCCGCTTGAGAGTTTCTGGCATGTTCCTAATAAAACATGGCAGCAAGGGCCAGAGTGGGATCATGTCCCATTTCCAGACTCTGAGAGGGGAAGGGAAGACCCTCTTCAAGCATCTGCTCTGTAGAAATCACTATATAAATACTGAACTAAGGAATGGCTGCATTCTATTAAATAATATAGTAAACTAACTTTCTATAAAATCTATCTGTTCATAGACATTTGGCAAAAATAATTTATATTCATTTTAAAAGGGTTTTCTCTATGTTCTACATTTGGTAACAGTAAGCTTTTAAAGCAGTTCTCACTAAGTACTGGTGTTTGTGTCTGTATCTTCTGTAATGCCTTCAGCTTGCTTTTACCGAGTGTAGCAGAAAATCCTGAGGTGTCTCCTAAGCTCAGTGAAGAAACTCAGCCGCCTGCAGTGGTGCCCAGTGTTTGTCATGTAGTTGCAGTTTAAGTTAACATTACCATGCTGAGTTGAACTATATTCCTTTCTTCCTGAAGAATACGGATTGTGTTCAATTACATTACAAAACAAGATCTATTTTGTGGGTGGACAGACCACGATCACGGACTGCTATGACCCAGAGCAAAACGAGTGGAAGCAGATGGCTCACATGATGGAGAGAAGGATGGAGTGTGGCGCGGTGGTGATGAACGGATGCATCTATGTAACAGGAGGATATTCCTATTCAAAAGGAACGTATCTGCAGAGTATTGAGAAATACAACCCTGAACTGAATAAATGGGAAGCAGTAGGTAATCTTCCCAGCGCTATGCGGTCACATGGCTGTGTCTGTGTGTATAACGTGTAAACATTTAATTTTCGTATTGCTGTTACAGAAAACAGCACGTGCAGTATTCGTAACAGTACTGATTACCTCATGAATGAAATGTCTAATACAAACTCTTAGCGCACATCATTAAAAACTAGGTATAATTTGTCTTTATTTTAAACAATTCAGAAATATAAATGTGGTAACAAGATTTCCATATATTTTTCAGTCCAATCATTCTTTGTCATGAAAGTTTTCAAATTACTCTCTTACGATACTTTGTGCAGCTATATAGGAGCTACTGTGAAAAACAGATTTGTTCATTCATCACTGGGCGCTAAGGTGAGTAAAGCCAAACAAAATGTTCTGCATTTCTATGGACTACTGGGCTTAAGATGAAATCTTTGATACTCCAAAGGTAGCTACAGAAATGGTTCATTGCTACAAGCTAAGTGTGTGGTACATATAGAGCAATATCACTTGGATAACTAGGTTATCTCATCCAGAAATCATGGCAGTTATAGTATGCCTGTAATTCTATCTTCGCATGCCAGAGCGGAGAAGAGCACAGGCTGGGAATGAGGGAAGAAATGTCATGCAGTAGCCCCAGAGCACAAGCTGAAAGCATGCACTAGTTTTCCAGAAGGAGAACAGTGCTCTGCGGTACAAGGCAGTTTGAGAAAAGTGCTCACTTTGCTGTGCTCACACTGGCAGGGCCTGTGGGAAATAAAAAAAGACGCTGCATGGCTTTGCAGTGGGCTCTTTGGCTGATGCACAGGTATTGGTGATTTTTTTTTTTCCCCCAGAGAAAAGCTTTACCATTGTAACTATTTTTTTAAAATCAAATTTAAGATATGTGTCTTTGTGGAATGGCAGGAGGGAATGAGAGATACTGGAAAGTCGCTAACATCCACCTGAGATACAAGCTTCTCTATTTTGTTTAATACCATTTGGTCTTTTCTAAAAGTGCTAAACTGTGACTTGAGCAAAGGTGACAACTGAAGAAACTTGTCAAAATATGTTATGCATGGAGAAATTGAATGCAAAGTAATCCACTGCATTTAGTTATTTTTCTCAAAATGTAATACGAGATCTTCAAATTCTGTCTAGAAAGCAACCTGAGATGGGCAGGAAGGTCATCATTTTGTCACCTCTTCACTGGGAGACTTCTGCAGCAGGCTCCCAGCGCAGCATGGCAGTGCCAGCGCCGGCAGAAAAGCGGAATCCATATGTAGCATTTAAATAGCTGGTGTTTTGACCCTGCCATGCCCAGCCTTCTCACCGGTCCTTGTCCTGCATCCTGCCACGTAGGTAGTAATACAAATGCATTTGATTGAATCATTATGGCAGTGACTTCTTAGGATTTGTTTTCTCCTCATAGCTAGTATAGATAGTGTAATGTGGGGCTTGTGATTAGCCTGGTTCTGTGAGGGAGCAAGGTGCAACTGTGTTGTCTTTCTGTGCATGTGTAAGCTCCCCTCTAATGCTGGACTCGCTTGTCTGGGTTCAGCCACGTTCTACAGGGAGGTATAGGCCTTAAAAATACACATATTTTTTTCAGGTTTTATGAAAATTGGTAGCAGGGTAGAGGGGCAAGAGAGAGACTGAAAGGAAGCACGAGTTGTGTGGAAAGTACAAGATGGCAAAGCCTTCCCAGTGCCGAGGAGGTGGCTATGAGGAGCATTCCTGCTCCTGCCTTTGCTGCCCCTCACCCAGTCCCGCTTCAGCTGCTGTGGGGCCGTGTGGTCTGATAGCGGTGATCCAAATAAAGAAGTGCCTTGGGGAGCTGAGAGGCTCTTTCAGCCCAGGTCGGTTCCCCAGTCTGGCTTATAAAATCACCGCAGAAACAGCTGTTAAGCATGGGTGTGAAAGGCAGGGACAACACAAGGCTGCCGTAGGGTGTGGTGGGAACTTCCTACACCAGCACTGACACCTACAATGAAATTTTGGTTTTATTGGATTTATCAGATCTGATCAAACGAGCTTTCCAAGCAGGTAAGTCCTGAGTTTATAATATTTCTTTTTCTTGATCATAAGCATTTTCAACATTTTTTTGTTCTTTCACATTTTTATGCTATTTCTCACTTGCATTTGACTGCCGGTAGCAGGCAGCACTCAACTCTGAGCTTTGATGTGAAGTTCTGTGGTGTATATATAGTTCTCATTTTGATGTCTTTGTGTGTCACCTTACTACGTCAGAAGCTCATATGTGCGTGGGTTCGGTGTTTTGCTTCATTATCCATCCCACTGAGAGCTATTTAAGAATCTAATGTAATTTGTTTAAAGACTCTAAACTGTAAAGAGGTGTGGGGAATTGAACTCTGACACTGTTTGAAATGCGTGGGCCGGGCAGGTGGGCAAAAGAAATAAAGTGAATTTGTTTCTCCTGGAAATCTCCACAGCTGAGAATTGTTCAAAGGCGGGTGGAGATTTGAAAGGACAACATCACAACAGCATGAAGGTGATCTTTGTATTGAATGGAACTGCAGTGAACTCAACATGTGTATGTAATTTTTCAGTGCCAAATATGTACCTGTGAACCTTCATGTTTGTCAAAAACAGCAGCATAGAACAGCTGCTTGTGGCTGGCCCTATGGTTCATTCTGTTGGGTATCCTGTCACTGACAGTTGTTAAGTCAGTGAAAGGATGTAAGAACAAGGCAAGGACTCACAAAACCTCGCAGCTTCCGCCTGTCTCCTGCTTCTGAACTAGGTGCTTAATCATGGTGAAAGGCAGCGCTCTTCAGGGCTGGAGCACAGGCACTGGAAGCCGGAGTCCACTTTCTCCCTCTGGGCACCCTGCGGGTGAGCAGTACGCTGCTCCTCGGCTGCTCCTCGGCCTCAGCGTAACTGCCAAGTGAAAAAAAGCCTTTAGTTCTCACATGCTAGGAGAGTACGTGCTGATCGGGCAAAAATGAAGTCAGTGGGATTACCGCCTAGGGCTTCAGATGAAGTCCTAATTTTTTAGAGCTTTTTGAGTTTTTAGAGGTATTTAGAATAAATGGGCTGTAGAAGTTCAGACTCGCGGTTAAATTTTAACTGGTGCTATTTTTTACAATAACCTACAGTGCCCTTTTAAATTAGCTCATGTCTGTAGCACATCCCATGTAGGTGTGTAGCAATCGGGTCTTGAGCACGGGCAGGAGCGTGGGCTCAGCGAGAGGAATAGGGATTCCGGCTTCTGGTCCGTGCTTGCGCATCCTGTGGGAGGCGGAAAGCTCCGAGCGGGGGATCTTTCAGCCATCCGTGTGGTACGGTTTTAGTAGTAGTATTTGAACGTGAGCACTAAGGTGGTGTGCTGTCGGGCCTGTGTTATGGCAGACGTTTTGCTGTTTCACTTGTAAACTAGGGAAGTACCGACTGCAGAAGGCGAGTGACTTGTTAAGTCAGTGCCTGCTATTAGAAGTTTTACTTGTGTGATGCCCGCGTCCGTGGCGCTGCAGATGTCTACAACGCGTCTACGGTACTTCTGTGAACGTCTGTAATAGTCAATAAATGCAAATACACCGTCGGTGTACGAAGAGGAGCTGTTAAGCTGCTTTCGCTGCTGACCGCGCCGCAGCCCTGCGCGGCCGGACCGCTGCCTCTGGCGGACCCGTCGGCGCGCGCCGCC